GACATGGGGTCTAGCAGGGTTACCACTCTAGGGTTTGTATTCCCCATCCAGAGCCATTACGTAACAAAAAGTTCTAGAGGAATCCAGGCATGGTGGCATAAGCCTGTAATCCCAATAACTGACAGTAGAGATAGCAAAGTTATGAATTGGAAGCTATCATTAGTACCTATAGAGTCTGAAGCCAGCCTGGGCTACTCTGTATTGAAACCTGTATTGACTCTGTATTGAAACCAACAAAGCAAAGCTAACTGAAACTCAAGACAGTAGAAAGGTCAGGGAGGCAGGTCATTCATTAGTTCACTTTGGTTGGATACAGAGAACTTGAAGATGTAACCAGTTTTTCTTTAGATTCACTGAAATAAATTTTGTAACGATTGATAGTTTTGTTTAAGCAATATAGAAAGTTGAAGAGGAAAGTGAGAGCTTCTCAGTTTCTGTGACCTCAACTCAATGGCATGTGTGTTCCTTCCTCTGCCTTGGCTATCTGCAGAATCTGGGAGACTCATCCAGAGGAGTCGGTGGCTGATATGGTCACCCCGCTGCTCACTAGACTTGTAGGACATGGTATAGAGTCTCTTCTTGGGGCTCCTCTCTACAGGGGTGCAGGAGGTGCTCACACTGAGGTTGGGAAGCAAATGACAGATGTTGATGTCATCAAGGGAAGAAAACAGTTCAGGTGGGGTCAGGGCAACTGTGCTACTGTGATGTCCTAGTGCAGCCTGAGTGTCCTGTCTACACCACAGGTCATCATCCTCCACCCTCTCTCTAGCATCCCCTCAACTCTCTGGGGACCCAGTCTGCACAGCTACATGGGGTCCTTCTGGGCTGCATTAGTTATCACTGGGGGAAAGAACTCAAGGAGTGACAAGTGGGTGGACAGATGGACAGTTGTCATCTATGAGTTGTCTGCTGGGGTGGGGCCAATCTGCCCTTCACTGTGTTATTTGAAGGAAGTTTCTGGAATTGGAAGGTTCAGGCAGAAATAGGAAGAGTTGAGTCTATTCTCGCCATCACTGTCATGGGAAAACACGGCTGGGTATAAAAACAGGGTCTGAATGCTGGGGACACGATCAGGAACCGGAGTCTGAAGAGTCACAGGGCCTGGCCTGGGGAGGCCATGTTTACTCAGGATGAGGACTGGATAGACATGTGGGGCACATCAGCTATGGGTGTCTCCCTGCATGACGTGTCTGTGTCTGTATTCAACTGCACATGTGTGCATGTGTGTGCTCACCTATGTGGAGGCCAGCGGACAACCTCAAGCGTGACTACTCAGGACACATTTTGCCTTGGATTTCTTTCTTTCTTTGTTTGTTTGTTTTGGTTTTTATGAGACAAAATATATATAGCCATTGCTGGTCTGGAACTTAATATATAGACCGGGATAGCCTCAAACTCACTGAGATCCACTCGTGTTTGCCTCTGCCTCTGTCTCCCCAAAGCTGGAATTAAAGGCATGGAATTTTAAGTTTTAACTTTTAAAATTACACATATTTATTCTGCGGGTGAAGGACACACTAGTGCTATAGCCTAAGCAGCAGCCAGGGTCTAACACTGCAGTCTGACACTCCCCGTGGTCACATGTGCACAAAAGCCCCATGTGTACACCCCACAGCCCCAGGCTGACCTTCCACAGACAGTGCCCCTCCTCTGTGAAAGCACCATGGCTGCAGTTTTCAGTCACTGCTGTAGGGGAAACATGGCTGTCACTCCAGGAGGCTGATTACATCATCCTGGACAGGAACCATCCCACAGCAGGGTCCCTGTGGGGATCCAGCTGAGTCCAGGACTTGTAACAACAGAGCCCATAACTTGGGATTCAGGTGGCAGCAGGGAGGTTGAGCACCTATAGATCCCACCAGAACCTATTGTATAAAAATGCAGGGGTTAACCAGGCAGTGGCGGCACATACATTTAGTCCCAGGACTAGGGAAGCAGGTGGATCTCTGTAAGTTCAAAGGCAGCCTGGTCTACAGAGCAAATTTTAAACAGAACCAAAGCTACAGAGAAACCCAGTCTCCAAAACAAAAATAAAAATAAAAAATAATTCTGAGGTCCAACAGCTAACATAGGTCAGGCCTAAAGTGGTCAATCCCTCCTAGAGATTCTGCAATTGGATGACCTTTTACCCACAGACCCCAGACAGTAGGGTAAGGCCAGATGAAGCCTGGAAGTGAAGCTTAGATTCTGCATCTGCACAGACATCTGGAGACCTAGAATCCTGGACCTACAAGAGAAGGACTAGACCACATATTTCTGTAAACACAACAGAAGGCTTGTAGACTTGGTGGTCGATTGATGGGACCCAACTGCCCATCACCCATGGTGAGCCACCCTGGTTCTGGTTTGATGCCTCTGATTTCCCTGCTCCCTTGGTGTCACCTCAGGCTCCCAACTCCCCTTTCCCCTCCCCTGTTGTCACCTCGCCACACAGGCCCAAAGGCTCTTCAGAGCAATGTCCCCATTTTCATGATGTGGCTGCTCTGTCTTCTGATCCTTGCCTCTCCTCTGTAGCAAAAGTAACTGCAGTGCCATGCACTGGGTGCGCTGAGACCCGGCCTGAGCACTGTGTTGCTGTTACCCACGCGTCTTTCACAAGATCCTGCAGGAGCTGGGGACTCTGTGCTTCACTGTTGCTCACAACCTTGCTCTGGCCGTGTTTACTCAGGATGAGGACTTGGTAGGCAGGTGCTGGATGATCAGCTGTGAGAGGTGCCTTGCATGATAGTATGTGAGAGAGAGTGTGTGTGTGTGTGTGTGTGCGTGCACACGTACACGCATGCATGCACACGCATGCAAGTGTGTGCTCATGCATGTGGCGACTAGAGAGCAACGTCCGGCTTTACTACTCCAGACACCATGTACCTGGACATTTTGTGTTGTTAGTTGGTTGTTTTGTTTGTTTGTTTTCTGTGTTTCTTTGTTTGCTTTTTATTATTCTTCTTTTTGTAGGTCTGTTTTGTTTTTGTTTGGTCTCACTATGTAGTCCTGGTTGGCCTGGAACTCAATATGCAGACCAGGCTAGATTCACACTAGCAGATGTCCGTTTGCCTCTGCCTCCCATATGCTAGAAAGAAGGCGTGTGCCACAAAGGCCACCGTAATTTTTTAGATTATATTTACTTATTTATTGTAGGAGGAAGGGCACACTCACTTTGCAGCCTGAGCAGCAGCCAGGTTCTAACACTGCAGTCTGACACTCCCCATGGTCTCATGTATGTAAGCCCCATGTGTGCACCCCACTGCCCCAGGCTGCTCTTCCACAGAAAGTGCCCCTCCCCTATGAAAGCATCTTGGCGGCAGGGCCCAGTCACTGCTATTAGGACAAACTGGGTTCTCACTACAGGAAAATTATTACAGCCTCCTGGACAGTAATCGTCCCACAGCAGGGTCCCTATTGGGAACCAACTGAGTCCAGGACTTGAAATTAGAACAGAGTTCATGATCTGGGATTGTGTGGCCAGCAGGTGGCAGCAGTGAGGCTGAGCACAGGAACTGCTGGGATCATGAGGGACCAACCAGAGCCTGCAGGAGACCAGCAGCTGGCACAGGGCAAGCTCATTAGGCCCAGTCCTTCCTTTAGAAACTTAGCAAGGGGTGAGGAAGGCAGAGAAAGCAGACATGACAGAGGCGGCGGCATAGCCACCTGAGGGGAGCATGGAGAAGGCAGTCAATGCCAGGAAATTAAGGAAATGGGAAGGCGCCTCTGCCCATCTCATTTAGAGAGTATAATGCCATTTCTTCTGGTACAATCACATCTTCCTGCCCTTCAGGGAACTGGTGGCACCTTGTCATGGGAAAGGGTGAGATGACCTCCACAAAACCATCCCCCACATCTCACAACTCGACTCTATTCACGGACCAGCTATGTCCACTCCCAGAGATGTCCCAGGATATGTCGTGACTGACACATTGCTGCTCTGAACCCTTTTGGCCCACTCCATTCAAAGAAGGTTCTAGAACAGCCACATCTAGAACGAATCCTGAAGTATTCTGTGGGAACAGCCTCCCTGGAGCCCAGCGGAAGATCCGTGGCCTTGAGGGGAGCTCAGAAGCTGCACCAAGCAGGCAGCCCGAAGTCAGTGTGGAGAGTGAGAGTAGGAGAAGTCAGTGGGACTGAAGTCCAGTCACCTGCCGTGTGCCAGTCATGTGACATGTGCCAGGGCTTCTCTGACACTTGGTTTCCTCTTCTGAGTGTGTGTTAAGGGTGGTGGGAGGCAAAACGTCTTCTTCAGAAACTGGAGTGGCTCTGGAGTCGCTGTCAAGGTGAAGAAGACGAGTCTATAACTTACCAGGAAGCACAGGGAAGTTACAGACTAGGCAACAGCGAGCAGTCAGGGCAAGATTGTCCACTGGGCATTGGTTTTCGTGGGGTTCTGTGAGGAGTCCCTGACAGGCAGCAAGAGTGCAAAGAGCAGACGATGGTGGGGGCACCAAGCTAGGGCTGGGACTGAATGTGTTTCCTCATCACCTCCTGTCTCATACTTTTTGGTAAGCAGAAAATGATCAATCTCTTAACTGTGATTATGAGAGAGAGAGAGAGAGAGAGAGAGAGAGAGAGAGAGAGAGAGAGAGAGCGCCAGCATGAGGGGAGACATGCTGAGAAACAGACTGGGGGGAGGAAATTATGAAGCTGAGGAAACAGTGATTACAGGCTGCATAGGGAATGGGAAAGACTGGATGAGACAGGAGGTCAGGGTGGAAGAGAGGAGAGTTCAGCATGCAGAGGTTAAGGCTGTATCTTCCAGCCAAAAATGGGGGCTAGGCTCATGGGTGCAGTCATCTTCTCAGTGACCACAAGGGTGGATCTTCTGTAACGTGGGAAAGAAGAAACCAGAATGATAAAGGAAGTTGCTGGCCACAAGGAGGTGGAGATGGGGAGGTCCTGCCCCACCCAGTCCTCCACATGAGAAGCCACAGGGAATGTGGCTCACTTTACCCTGATTGTCTCCTGACTCCTGAGCACCCAGGGTTCCTCCACGGGGCCTCCTCTACTGTCTGATGGCTCTGCTGGTCTCACTTCCTGGAGGGATTCTGGACATGGCTTCTGTCCTGCTTCTGCTGCTCCCAGCAGCCTGTCTGCAAGCTGGTGAGTGGTGGGAACCTCACTAGTGGGGACCTAATCACAGGAGGGGTGAGTGGGGCTGGGAAGAGTGGGTTGTCGTGTGAACAGATGACTGCTAGAGCAACCAGCCTGTCCTCTGAGCCACAAGAGAGAGCTCATGTTCAGAGTGGGTCCAGCTCAAATCTTGCTGTCTATCCTGTCCCCTACTGAACAGTGGGACGTGGGAAAAGCCCTTCCCGGAGTTCTCCTCCTGCCTGTGGGTGAAAACTCGGGAAGCTCTGGGTTGTCCTTTCCATCCCCTGCAGTGGTTTCAGATTCTTCCCCAACCTTCCCAGGTAACTCAGCAGGATCCAATAGAGTAAATACCTTTGGTGTCAACCAACCAGCACGCCTCTCTGGTGTCGAGGGCGGCTCCATCAAGATCCCCTTCTCCTTCTACTTCCCCTGGGAGTTGGCAAAGGATCCACAGATGAGGATTCTCTGGAGAAGGAAGTACCTCTATGGGGAACTGATCTACAACTCTTCCTCGGGTTTCATCCATGATCATTTCAAAGACCGGCTCATCCTGAACTGGACACAGCCTCAGACATCCGGAGTCCTCAGAATTCTGGATTTGAACAAGAAAGACCAGACAGTGTACTTCTGCCAGATTTATCTGAACACAAAAAGAGGCGTGCAGAGTTGGCAGTCTACTGATGGAACCCAACTCGCCATCACCCATGGTGAGTCATCCTGGTAGTGGCTTTGATGCCTCTGAATTCCTTGTCCCTTAGGTGTCCCCTCAGGTTCCACAGCTCTGAGACTGGTTTTATATCCCTTTCCCTTGGCTCTGCCCAGGCCTCTGACAACAGGATCTTTCCACTGTAATTGTGCCCAAGCCTTGGCTGTCTCCTTGACTGTGCCTGTCATTCTCTGCTCAGAGGGAACCCCACCCCTCTCTCGGCTTCAGGTTGTGTCCTACCCCGTAGTTCACCTCCTTTCTGTCCCAAACTAACACTGTGGTCCTGTCCACTTCCCTCTCCTCTGACCTCAAGGAGGACTGACATCTCCAGGATATAGCTGACTCATTTGGTCCTGTGTCAGGGCTCCCGTTAGCCCCCATATAGAGCATCTCCACACAGCTCTAACCTAAGGCCAGAATGAGCAGTAGGTGCCCATTGGATGTTCTTGGTGTCCTCCGGTCTGACTATGAACTGCTAGATGTCACCAAAGTCTCCCATTTCCCATACTAAATCCCCAGGACACATCCCTCACCTCTCCCTGCCGACTCCATGTCTCCTCTCCATCTCCCAACTCCCCTTTCTCCTCCATTGCTCTAAGATCTCCCTTAAAAGCACAAAGGATTTTTAAACTAATGTCCCAATGTCATGATCTGGTTGCTTTGTCTTCTGATCCTGGCCTCTCCTCAGAAGCAGAAGTGACTGCAGGCCCATACACACTGAGCCCCGAGGCCCAGCCTTGTCACAATGGAACTCTATACACGGCCACCCTGGAGCTGAGCGAGTCTAGCTGCTCGGTTGTTGATCACAGCCTTGCTCCAGGGCTGTTTATTTGTGTATTTATTTATTCAGGATTTTCACAACACCGGTTCTCATGCTGGAGCCCTGGCTGTCCCAAAATTGACTATGTAGACCAGGCTGGCCTTGAGCTCACAGAAATCTGCCTGCCTCCTTCTCCCGAGTGCTGAGACTAGAGCCATGAGCCACCACATCCAGCAGTGGCTGTTGACTGCATTAAAGCCAACTCGTGAGAGGATGCCCACAGCAGAGTTCTCTGTGCAGTCTCTGCGGCTGCCATGTTGACCTGATGTAAACTCAAAAGGCAGCTTCCAGGGCTCAGGGAAGAGAAAGAAGCTGCTTCTTGGCTCTAGATTAGGGGTTCTCAACCTTCCTAAGGCTATGGCCCTCATGTTGTGGGGACCTAAACCATATAATTATTTTTTGCTATTTCATAACTGTAATTTTGCCACTGTCATGATTTGCAGTATAACTTTATGATATGCAGGATATCCGATATGGACCCTTATGGGGCCATGGACCCCATGTTGAGAAGTACTCGTCTATAATATTCAAATAGGTAAATGTGAAAATTAACCACAGTGATGTCTGTAGAGCAAATGAATGTTCTCTGCCCTGCACTGTGCTATACTCCTATGACTAAAATTATATACATTCTGTTATAGTTTATGTATTCTGTGTGTGATCATTTGAGTCTGTTAATCGAGGTGTGTGTGTGTGTTGTGTGTGTGTGTGTGTGTGTGTGTGTGAATGTACACATTTTTTCAGTGCATGTGGAGGCTACAGTACAACTTCAGGTGTTATCCACCTTATTTTTTGAGACAGGGTCTCTCATTGGCTTCAAGGTTGTCATGTAGGTAAGGTTGTGAGACCAGTGAACCCCAGAGACACACCTGTCTCCACCTCCTCATTACAGGGATTACAACTCATTCAGTTCTGTTTCCTGTAGAACTCTATGTACATAGCATGGCTTAAACTCAGAGAGATCTGCCTGCCTCTGCCCCTTGGGCTAAGATTGAAGGCTGTGCCCAGTTCACCCGGCTCATTGTATCGATACTAGGGATCAATCTCAGGTCAAAGTTTTGAGAGCAAACACTCTATTGACTGACAAAATGTCATGTTCTCTACATCTATAACATAACAGCTGTATCTCTGAGGTTCGTTATCTGTGACAAGATGAAGATCTGAGGACACACAGCCAGGACAGGTGGAGGGTGTGCACTGAGCTTGCTCTCCTGGAGTCTCAGCCTTCAGCATGTGGTCCCCTCTGTGAACCTCTTAATAGCGGCTCCCCATCCCACCTCCCACAGAGGAGACAAGATGTGACACTCACCCCATCCCTCCTCATCCAGGGAGATTCTGCTCACTCCTCATCTCTCCCCAGCAGCCAGAACCATCAGGAAGAGCCCCTCCATCATCACCTCTGCAGTCACCACGGCTGGACTGGAGGACACAGAGGGACAGAGGAATCCTTCACTTGTGAACATAGGAGCCACTGTCGGGGTGGTGGTGGCCACGGCTGTGCTCATAACCCCCGTCTATGTGATGCTGATCTTCCTCTGGTGGAAGAAAAGGTGAGTGGTCCAGGACAGGGCCTCACCCAAGCTTCCCACGTGAGTTTCTTCTGCTGTATGACAAAGAGAAAGGCAAATGTTTTAGTCAGGTCTGTACAGTCATGGAACTTATGGAATGAATATATGAATATACGATTATATAATTAAATATATTTCTGAACATATATGGGAGTTCATTGGAATGACTTATAGGCTGCTGTAGAAGAATATCTAGTTGTGAATGTAAAGACCAAGAACCCAGTAGCTACTCAGTCCTACAAGGCTGGGTTTCTCAGCTGCTCTACTGGGATCTCGAAGACGGAAATGAATGTGTGACAGAGGCGAAGGCAAGCAGATGAAGAACACCCTTGTTTCTTCCACTGCCCTTACACAGGTTTCCAACAGACAATGTGGCCCAGCCTCATGGAGGGCGTAAATGCATGCTGTCGTCCTTCCTCAAGATCCAGATCACAAGTGTGACCTTCATTTCTAGATTATAGTTCATTCCAACTACAGTCCAATTGACAGCCAAGAACAGCCAGCACGGTAAACATGTGCAGGGCAGAGAACAGAGAACACAAGGATAGAAAACAGGCGGGACTCAGCCAGAACTGAATCTGTACCTACTTCATTAGAGTCCCAGCTGGAAATTAGAGGATCAAGCAAAGATGAACACAGGACAGGAGCAGAGATGAGCAGACAGTGGAGTGTATTGGAAAACCCAGAAATACAGTCTTGAATATGCAGGCTCAGCCCTGCAATGGATAAGAAGAGCAGTTGAGAGGTGAAGAGCAGGAGTCTGGGAGGCAGCAGAAGTCTGACTGGGATTCAAACCCTAAGACTGAATCTGCAGGGTGCAGTAGCTGAACTCACAGGGAAGCCAGGGAGCCAAGTTCCAGGGAGACAAAAGGGAGGCCTGGTGAGTGCAGAGCAGGGAGAGCAGGGAGGGGACATGAGTTCAAGGCAGGGGAAGGAAGCAAAGGGAGAAGGACATGGACAAGAGGCAGTGGACAGGAGAGCTGTCCTCTGATTGGCTGTGCAGAAGGACAGCTGAGGACTGGCCTCAAGCCCCGGGGACTCTCAGTCCTGTCCCTGATTGGCTGCTACAGAGCTGTTTGCTGCCCTGGGCCCCTAATGTTGTCTGAACACAGAGAACAGCTGAGAGGCAGACAGAGGATCAGCATGGTTGCCACATTGACACTGGTTCTTCTCCTACAGGCCAGCAGACTAAAGCTGAAACCCCAGCCAGGTGAGCGGCTGTCATCCCAAGGAGCAGGTGAGGGGCTGCTTGAAGAAGTTTGTTATGAGAGGCATGCAAGGGAGCTAGAGAGATGATTGAGTTAGAAACCCTTGCACATGGGCAGGAGGACCTGAGTCTGACTGGGAGCACCCACACTGTAAACCAGGGGAGTGACAGAAATATGTAATCCCAGTTCTGGACAAGTAAGAGACAGACAGAAGCATGGCGCTGTCTGTCCAGCTAGACTAGTGTAATTGCTGAGTTCCAGGTCAATGAGAGACCATGTCATAAAAAATAATGTGGATTCCTCAAGGGGATAAATCAAGGTCGTGGCATTTTCTAAGTTTACTTTAAATGAAGGGTTTGAAAATTGCATATTAATGGACAAAAGAAAAGTGGGAAGCAGAGAGATAGTTCAGTGGGAGAAGGTGTCTGCAGCCAAGACCAATGGCCTGCGTTCATTTGGGGACATAAATGGGGCAAGTAGAAAACTGACTACAGAAAACCGTCCTCTCCTTCTCAGGCACAGCACTGTTAGTCCCCAGCTAATGGAACTCCAGGGGCCAGCATCGCTCACCAGGGTGGTGAGTTTCATCAAAGTACGGTTTGCTGGTCACACTTCCTGCATCTCAACCCCTTCCCTCACCACGACCTGGGAATCAGAGAGCAGGGCTTCTAGCCTGTGCTGTGAAACATCCGTCCATGGACAGGTACAAGAAGAGAACCCCACTTCTGCCATGTGCGCTCTGACTTCCTTTCCTCAGAACACAATTTTTCTGTCTCTGGTCCTGAGATCCTAACTCTGCTGTTACCTATCTGTCCATGGAGTTAATAATATTTTTAATAAATATCTTCCTCCCAGCAATGCATATCCTGTCTCTCTTAACACCTATGTGAGACTTTAGAGAACAGCAGATTGTGTCCATGAGCAGCGACACTGAGAGAGGCAGGGACCATGGTCCACACTGAGAACCACTGCATGAGAACCCTGTTCCTCTCTCCATTCTCCCTGGACACTGACATCTCAGTCACAGGCCCTGGCCACTCCATGCCCCTCCTCAGATGACAGACCATGGTTTGATTGGGTCCCATTCTGGGCTTCCTTTCCTCACAGGCCCATCTACAAACACTCTCTTTCCTTACTTCCTTCAGTGTTGATATTCTGACCTGTGGGGTCTCCCCTGGGACAAGACTTCTTTCCCAAGTCCAGTCTGTCTTAACATTGATAGTCAGTGGATCAGCGTGTACCAAAGAGCATGCTGGGACATAAGGATAGCATCCACACTGACCATTAAGGATGAAATCCAGGCTGTTTTCACAGACAGAGATGGTGCATGGGCATTCGGCAGTGTGGCTGTAGTTGGCTCCCATATGCCCATAGGGAGTGGCACTATTAGGAGGCATAGTTTTCTTGGAGTGGGTATGGCCTTGTTGAAGGAAGTGAGTCATTGAGGGGGTGGGTTATAGGTCCTATGCTCAGGATGCACTTTACCAGAGGTACTGTTGTCTTCATGTTACCTGTGGATACAGGTGGAGAAGTCTCAGCTCCTTTTCCAGTACCATGTCTTCCAGCATGCTACCAATGTCTGACCATGAAGATAATGAACTAAACCTCTGAAACTGGAAGCCACCCCAAATTAATTATTTCCTTTATAAGAGTTGCCATGCTCGTGGTGTCTCTTGACAGCAATAGAAACCCTAAGACAGGCATGCACGATTCAGATCCACCAATCACAGTCCTGCATAGATGCAGCTCTTATTCCATCAGTGACAAGTCTCAAATGTGTGTCAGTCATGGGATTTTTGCTGAGTCACTGGAAACTGTCCCATCCCTATGGGACTAGCTGAAGCTAGGAGGGGTGATGGAGAAGTCACCAAGGCTTCTCATGACTACAGTAGAGTCTCCTGGGTCAGCTGTGAGATGTCTGCTGTGGTGTAACTGGATCCAAGCCTCTGAGGCTGAACTCTGCAGCAGCCGTGGTCACAGTGATCTTGGCAGCTGGGATTGTGTCTCCTCTGAGCATCCCTGAGGTGTTCACACAGGCAGGCTGCCGTGATGACCATCTGCCCAGTCATCTACAGTATGATTAATTCACCATCGCCTCCCTCCAGGCAGCTGGGCCCAGAGAAGGGGATTCATGCATGTTACTCCAATGGTCACGTGAATTGCCATATAAGTTTCCATTGTTCAAAAAGGAGGAATAATAAAGGGGCCCACAAAAGGCTTACACAGAACCAGCATTCTCAACATAATTTACATAAAATTCCCTCAGTGTGCAGGGAGCATGACTGTAGGAATGGCAGCAGACATGAGGTCTAGCCGGGTTACAACTCTTTAGGTTTTATGTTCCCCAGCCAGAGCCATTCAGTAACAAAAAAATACTAGGGGAACCCGGGCATGGTGGCATAACCATGTAATCTCAATGATTGAGAGTAGAGACAGCAGAATAATGAATTGGAAGCTATTTTTAGCACCTATAGATTCTAAATCCAGTCTAGGTTACATAGACCCTGTTTTGAAACCAACAAACCAAAGCTAACCAAACCCAAACAGTAAAGAGAGGTCATGGAGGCAGTCCAAACATTAGTTCAGTTTGCATGAAGACAGAGAACTTGAAGACAAGAGAATCGAAAGAAACAGTTTTTCTTTAGATTCACTACAATAAATTTTTGACTATTAATAGTTGTCTTAAGCAATATAGAAAGTTGAAGAGGAAATTGAGAGTTTCTCAGTTTATGTGACCTCAAACCCAATGACATGTGTGTTCCTTCCTCTGCTTTGGTTTTCTGCAGAACCTTGAAGACTCAGGCAGAGGAGTAGGTGGCTGATGTGGTCACCCAGCTGCTCACTAGACTTGTAGGACATGGTGTAGAGTCTCTTCTTGGGGCTCCCCTCTACAGGGGTACAGGGAGGTGCTCACAGTGCGGTTGGGAAACACTGAGGATGTTGATGTCATCAAGAGGAGAAAAGACGGTTCATATAGGAGCGGGGCAAATGTGCTACTGTGATGTCCTAGTGCAGCCTGAGTGTCCTGTTACACCACAGGTCATCATCCTCCACCCTCTCTCTAGCATCCCCTCAACTCTGTCGGGACCAATCTAGGCAGCTACTCTGGGTTTCTTCTGGGTGCTCTTAGATGCTAGTGGGGATAAAAACTCAAGGAATGGGAGAGTGGATGGTGTGACAGATGGATGGACAGATGGACAGTTTTCATCTATGAGTTGTCTGCTGGGGCAGGGCCCATCTGCCCTTCACTGTGTTATTTGAGGGAAATTTCTGGAATTGAATGGTTCTGGCAGAAGTAGGAAGGGTTGAGTCTATTCTCTGCCATCACTGTCATGAGAAAACACAGCCGGGTATAAAATCAGGGTCTGATTGCTGGGGACACGATCAGGAACTGGAGTCTGAGAGTCACAGAGGCTGGCCTCGGGAGCCCGTGTTTACTCAGGATGAGGACTGGGTAGACATGTGGGGCACATCAGCTATGGATGTCTCCCTGCATGATGTGTCTGTGTCTGTATTCAACTGCACATGTGTGCATGTGTGAGCTCCCCTATGTGGAGGCCAGCAGACAAACTCAGGGGTTGCTACTCAGAACACATTCCGCCTTGGATTTCTTTCTTTGTTTGTTTGTATTGGTTTTTATGAGACAAAATCTATATAGCCATTGCTGGCATGGAACTTGATAAATAGACAAGGACAGCCTCAAACTCACTGAGATCCACTCGTGTTTGCCTCTGCCTCTGTCTCTGCCTCCCCGAAGCTGGAATTAAAGGCATGCACC